TCCTTATCTACATTTGCCAGCAGTGTAAACTTTGAGAGAAAAGTTCATTTGGCACGCAAGTCTTTTTCAGGTGTATTTTTTCTTAGGCTTTGTATAAAAAAAAGTACAAAAAAGAAAAAAACTGTATAAGGTTGGTCGAATGAATGGCCGTCCTAGTCACCAGTCCCGAGTCTATTAGATTTTTGAGTATGAGGCCTTATTTTGGACAGAAGGGGGAGTACAAGGGACTCAAAATGGAGAAAATTAGCATATGGTTACAGAAGATATGGAACAAATTAACTGACGAGGACCTGCGTGCCAAATGAACTTTTCTCTCAAAGTTTACACTGCTGGCAAATGTAAATAAGGATTAAAATTTAAAAACTAATTAATACAACTAAAGTAAAATCTGTGGAAAATTAACAATAACATACTTTTTTCGCAAAATCTATAAAGGACTCTTCTATTTCTCAAAAAAACCTGGGTAACAGTTATTCGTCGCCACGCTGTATATATTAATACGCAAACATAAATTTTGTCTCCGTTCGTTTGGCGATTCTACCGAACCGATTTCAAAACCAAGAACACCGTTGGAAAGGCATTTTTCCGTAGATGAGCAGAGTTTTTATTCACAATTGGTTGAAAATTACGGCCAAAACCGTCGTTTAAACATTTTCGAATTGTGTATAGATGCTGCTGCAACATGTTCAATTTGACATGTTTCGCCTGTTGTTTCACTACACATTTGAAACTAAGCTTTGAAATAAAGATAAATATGAAGATGAAGAAATAAAGTCAAATAGAATAGAAGTCAAAAAAAGAAGGCAAAAGTGAAGATAAAAACGAAAATGGAGACAATGACAGATACATACGAATTAGAGTAACTGAAAGGCTAAGAACATTTCTTGCATTTATGAAGTGAAACTTCTTTAGCGGCAGTTAGTTGGTTCGGAGTAAATTGTCAAATTCAAGGGGAATAATGCACATGGACATGGTTCTCAGCGGTTTAGCGGTTTGAGAATAAAAACAAAAACAAAGATGCCTAGAGGTACAGGCAAATCGGAGATCAAAGTAAATTTAAACACTTTAAGGTAAAGGTGAAAAGGAATATGCAAAAATAAAGATAAATATGAAGAAAAGGATGAGGATGCAGATCGGTATTGTCATCGATATAAAATACGATATTTTTATCGATATAATAATCGATATTGCTATCGATAAAATAATCGATATTGTTATCGATACTGTTATTGATTAAATAACCGCTATGGTAATCGATATAATAATAAATATAATAACCGATATTGTTATCGATACAATAATGGATATTGTTATCGGTATAATAATCGATTAAATAATTGATTTTGTGATCGATTTAGTTATTTATATTGTTAACGATATGTACAATAATCGATACTGATGATTGTTATATTTATCGATGAATTCATCGATTTTACAATCGTTTTATTTTTCTATATGTTTATGGATATTGTTATCGGTATTTTTATCGACACAGTTATCAACAGGGTTATCAATATACTAATCGGAACATGGAACGTGATCACATTACATGACATCACATCACATTTTATCACATGATATGAAGAGACATCACATGATATTACATCACATAATATGATATCACATCACACGATATCACGTGACATGACATTATATGATATGACATCACATTATATGGCATGACATCACATGACTTGACATCACATGATATGACATCGTATGACATGACATGGCATTACATGACGTGGCATCACATGATATGACATCATATGGTATGACATCATTAGACATGACATGACATCCTATCACATCACATCTTATCACGTCATCGCACCTCATCT